AAAAAAAAAAAAAAAAGAACATTTTTTGCTTCACCAAATCAGCATTATTTTTGATTAATCTACAACAATAGATTTGCTATACTGGTGGATTTCTCACCCTGTGGGAACATTTAAAATCATCTTAAATCATATAAAGTAAGAGTTCACTGGGTTTTGGTCACACCGTCTCCAACTTATAATAGGAATACATTTCTATTTTTTGCTTTATTTTTGTTTTATTTTTAGGAATATATTTCTAATAGTAAAATGAGGCCAATCATCATATGTAAAGAAAGGGAAACAAGATTAATTTTCAGGTAGGGTTCTTAGGTACTTCAAACTGGATTGTTCAAAATTATCTACTAATACTTTCTGAGAATAAATGCACCACTGAGCCAATAAAGCTAAAATTAAGTAAAATGTTCTAATATAAACACATAAAGCCAGGTGTGGTGGCTCATGTATGTAATCCTAGTACTTTGGAAGGCTAAGGCTTTGGGTGAATCACTTCACTCCAGGAGTTTGAGAACAGCCTGGGCAACATGGCAAAACCTCATCTCTATAAAAAATACAAAAATTAGCTGGGCATGATGGCATGTGCCTGTACTCTCAGCTACTTGGGAGGCTGAGGCAGGAGGACTGCTTGAACCTAGGAGTTCAAGGCTGCAGTGAGCAGAGTGCACCACTGTACTCAAGCACTGGTGACAAAGTCAGACCTTGTCTCAAAAACAAACTAAATAACAAAAACCACAAAACGTCCTTCAATATGAAGTACGTGAACATATAATCTAATCTAAAGGCTGGGAATGCAGTACCATATAAAATAGAAAGAATCCCTGCTCCCAAGGAATTTATATTCTAGGGGACTACATATAAACAGCTTAAAAAAATCTAGCTTCCATCTTCATCAAACTACAGAGCTTAAAAAATAAAGACCAATATAAACACAACCTATGTATTAGATATACCTCAAAAATCTGTGCAAGCTGGACTTCTTTATTTGTGAATATGGCGTGTATACAGTGCACAGCCTGTTTTGCTTGGTGTGGAGTACCCCTCTTTGCTTTTTGATGTAAAATGGGAATTAAGGTCCTGCAAAAAATAATATAGTTTTTTTTTCTTAAAGCTATAAAACAACAAGTATTCCTTTGGTTGACTTCCACTTCCCCTATATAGATGGATGCTGGCAGAGAAGCCTCTCTTAAAAATTATCTGAGCTAAAGAAAGACTTAAAAAAGCTCTCTCTCTACCCCCAAGTACAACCAAGAAATACAATGCCTCAAGAAAAAGCCTACTTCAGGAGACAACTTTTATTTTAAAGCTGTTTCACAAATATTCAAAATAATAAGCAGCCCTGAATTCATAATCTAAAGCTTACCCCATAACATGTTTTTACATTTACCTTCTAAGTGGAATATTGCTAATTTTTCAATTCCCTTTTATAATCCCCTTCAGTTATTTCAAAGCAGCTACGGAAAAAAGAGTAGCAAGAGGCCAAGGTGAAATAAAGTATGCAAAGATACAGATACATATATATCAGCAGAATGGCAATAAAAATATCTAACAATTATGTGCCAGACATCATTCTAGGTATTTACTTATGGATTAATTCAACTAATGTTCACATCCACTCACAGAAGACTATTATAGTCATTACACAGATGAGAAAACTAAAGCACAAAGATGTTATTTAAGCCTCCTGAGATGATGAAGCTAGGAAACTGAGAGTTGGGATTTGAAAATTAGCATTTCTTTCAAAATCCATACACTTAGCTTCTACACTGACAATGAAGAGTAAACTAAAACAGTCTTCTGTTAGGATGAGATGAAAAAACATGTAACAGTCTTCAAAAATTAAATGCTGATGACAGAAAAAAATCATTTGGTAGAATGAAGAAAATAGTGTGCTTATATGAACCTACTAAAAATAGACAAACATCTAGTAGATGAACATTCATAAAAAATATACATAGAAAATATTACTGGTGACTATTTTATTTTTTCTAGTTTCAGTTTGCTATAATGAATACAAGTATTTTTATAAGCAGAGGAAAACTGATTAGGTGAAATAAACATTTAAAGAAAGATATTTAATGTTTTATATATATATATATGTGTCATATATTTAATGTTATAAGAGCCTATTTTATAAATTATAAAGGTAGTGGTATCAAATGCAAGGGTGACAATGTCGTCTTATGATAACGGAAGTCTAGACATGAAAAGCTATACTGCAGGCTCCAAGCCATGCACCTTAACCAAAAATGGGAACATATGCTAGCTGGTTTAAGTCTAATTTGATGTTTATAAATATGCCTGAAGCTTCCCTCTATGGACTTTGGAATTATGAGATAGGAATGTCCATGCCCAAATAGACATCCTTGACTGAGTCATGACTACGCTTCTAAATGGAAGACGCATTTCCTCTCTCCTATCTGTTTAGTCTTTCACCACACCGTTTACCAAAGTAACACCTCTTATAAAATAACACTAGTGAATGATAAAGACAGTTTCGATCAAACAGTTGTTAAACGTATTACTAATTATTTTTAGCCTAAATAAAATAATACAGAAGTCAACTTTAACCTTTCTTCTTGTTTTTTCTAGAGCACTATAATCCAGTGATGCCGTCAGGGTTGTTATTGAGGTCTTTAGTGTTGTGCTTTTCTGTTTTCCTGTGATTATTTCCTTTCTTCTCCATTAGTGTTATGAATAAGGTGTTTTATTTCTCATGTCCAAAGTTAACTCTTCCATCTATACTCATTTTCAATTGCTTCCTTTGAGGTAGAATTCCTCTAAGAATAGATTCTTTGCCTTTAAAAAATGTATAGGTTTTCTTCCCTTGAAAAACTCATCAAAAACTTTATCCTATTGTCAACTATCTTTTTTTATGCTGTACACATATAAAGTTTATTATCTCTAGTCTATAAACTCCTTGAGGGCAGGGACTGATTGTGGTAACTTTTTTTTTTATCAGCCAGAATAATGCTGAGAATGAAGAGAACGTACAATGAACACTGAATTATTTCACAAGTTAAACTATTAGCTCACAAATTTAATAAAAACTTCAGGAGATTGCTTGCCCTATAATTACCATGTAAGGAAAATGGTATGTAGTTGAATATACCCTGAACTACCTACATATACCCTGAACATATGGTTCAACAGCTATTTGCAATGTGTTTTTCCCTCTAAAAGACGTCTTCTGCAATTTTTTTAAGTCTAAATATAACATCTCAGCAGAAATTCCACCTTAACCTTTTAAGATGCCAAAGTGAACCATTTGTCCCCTTTTTTGGTGGGACAGTAAAGTGACGGTTATTGAATTTATAACTCATTTACAGAAAAAAGATGGATACACATGGATCAGAAAGACATTAATCATTAATATAATAAAACACTAAATTCTGTGATAACTTTTGATTCTTAATATCTTAAAATAATTTTGTTCTAATGATGGGAGAGGCTTGTAAGACAAGGGAAAGACAAAACAGAGGAGGACACAGAAAAGTAGCTTCTAAATCAAAGTTGTCTTTCCTCTCTATCTTCCTACAAAGAAGGAAAACAATTATGCTACGGTTCCCACACTTAGAAACTTTTGTTATTTATCATGGGAGAAAAAGTGTACTCACGATCGTATTTGGGGAAGATCTGTTTCTATTTTGTGACCTGTATTTCTAAAAATTTGAATAGCAGCTTCTGCTACCTTGTCATCCTCCATTCTTAGGCACTGTAACAAGGACTCATATGTCTCTGCAGAGTGGAACGAGGTAGGATGTGTGAAAGACAGAACCTGAAAAAACAGATATAGCTTTAGAAGTACACATTGACATACAGCCTTTTGTCCTATTTTCTTCTTTACATCTTAGTCTATTCTGCTACTTGGAACACAAAACACAGGGCTCTGTTTTTATTGAATGTGATTTACAGTATTAATAACTCTTACCAGTTTATAAATATATTGTATTTAGGTGAAGGAATGCTTACTTGAAATAAAACCTCCATCCGTAATGACTCAATCTTTGTGTAATGTAAACAAAATGCTAACTCAGAACTTTCTTTGACTGGCAAAAAGATAATCTATGAGAAATTTTTTCTTTTCTTTTCTTTTTTTTGAGACAGGATCTCACTCTGTTACCTAGGCTGGAATGTGGTGGAACATCACAGCTCACTGTGGTCTCAAACTCCCACCTCAGCCGCCTGACCTGAGACTACAGGTACACCACATGCCTGGCTAAATTCTTTTGTTCTTTTTGTAGAGATGAGGTCTAGCTATGTTACCCAGGCTGGTCTCCAATTCCTGTGCTCGAGAGATCCTCCTGCCTTGGCTGGGATTACAGGTGAAAACCATTGTACCCTGCCGAGGAACTATTTCAAGTGAAATCTATCACTCATCATGACTATCAACAAAGAAGCCACTATTGTGAACTTTTAATTATGATTACAACATATAATTATTCCATTATGACACAAGCACAAATGTGCCCTTAAGTAATTTTTAACAAGTTAGATACATGTCTAAAGAGTTAACCTTCCATAAAGTAGAAACAATTCAGTTAATGTAGTATCAAGATTAGGGCTGAAAATAGAAGCAAGGAGAAAGGGAAATCGAGCAGGTGGTCTCCATTAATTAATTCAATAAGCACTTATTTAATGGTAAGTGCAGATATTGTCTCATTTGGCAAGATTTGGAGTGAGAATATCTAGTTATGTGGTTTTATTTACAAAAAATTGGAGAATTAAATCAGAAAAATGTAATAAAAAGCAATCTATTAAAATATATTGCCTTAAAGGTGGCTTCACTTTTAAAACGAATTGAAAATACAACTCAAATATTAAAAACATAATTAAAATCTTATTGAGGCATCATATCAATTCTTTCAATGCAATGATATTTAAGACTCTCAGAATACGATCCCATCATTCTTTTTCTATCTAACATCGCTGTACTTGGTTGTCTCTTCTCCCTTATGCCGCAGTGGTATCAATGTCTCTTTGCCTTCAATTTCTACTTTTCTTTTATTTAATCTGATGAAAGCTCTATCAAGGGCTGCAGCTGGTTGAAAGCCAGGTTAAAAGCCGGTGACAGTAACCTGCTTACCCAGTGGCACTCAACAATCTGGAACCTTGTCTCCCATTATTCCCCAAAGCACCACTTCTATCTACTCATGCCAGTCTCCCAAGAATCCCACAAATATGCCAAAAACTAATCACTTTGATGATGATATTCTACCCCCCTAGATTTTGTTATATATCCTGTCCAAAAAGTTTTAAGCCACACCTTGTTATTACTTAGTTAAGACTGGATTGTACAGCAATCACTAACAAGCACAGCAGGCATGGAAATGATAAACAGTGAAACAATCAACTATTAATTTATGATCTAAAATAATTACATTATGTTATGATGTAAAAACATGACTTTTACATAATCTGACTTTCAACACAAGTTTTAATCTTTCAAACAGCTTCCTATGAAGTAAGTCTGACACTTGCATATCCTGAAAAGAAGGCAAATTATGACCCTACGGAAATACATGGCAACAAAACTGTTTCAAAAATACCTTAAGAAGTTCAAGTCCTGAACGAATAGCTGTATCTGGACTTACACCCTCCTCTTCATCATCTGCGGTCCCCTCTATTGACTTATTCATCAATTTCACTAGTGCACTATTAAAAGAAGAAAATATAACTCAGTTACCACTATAGTAGTAACTATATCCTCATCACACTGTGATAGAACATATATAGAGCCTTAAAAGATCGAATTCAAAGGAATTTCTGTGTGCGTGTGGGTGGGGGGGAGTTCAACTTTGTCCTTTACTTGATAACTAAACTTCTACATATTATATCCCCCTAAGAAACTTAATGTATAAGAATAACTCTTCTTGGTTGGGCGAGGTAGCTCATGCCTGTAATCCCAGCACTTTGGGAGGCCAAGGAAGGTGGATCACGAGGTCAGGATTTCAAGACAGCCTGGCCACAAAGGTTAAACTCCATCTCTATTAAAAACTACAAAAATTAGCTAGGCACTATGGCAGGTGCCTGTAATCCCAGCTACTCAAGATGCTGAGGCAGGAAAATCGCTTGAACCTGGGTGGTTGCAGTGAGCCAAGATCGTATCACTGTACTGTACTCCAGCCTGGGTGACAGAGTTGAGACTCCATCTCAAAACAACAACAACAACAAAAACAACCAAAAAAACCAAAAAACTCTTCTAAAAAATAACAAAACTAAAATTAAATTACACAATACACATTGGTAATATATTCACATAAGTAATTTAATATTCATTTCCATATATACTGAGATCATTTTCAGTTTTAAGAACAACAATATAGTAGCTGCTAAATAGGCAATGACAACTGACTCAAAAATATAAATAATAAACATAAAAATGGACAAATGAATTAATATACTGGTAATTAATATACTGAATCAGTAATTTTATTTCTATAAATTTATAGCAAAGAAGCAAGTCATCAGAAGCATCATGCTATATTTATAAAGATTCATTAATTAGAAACAATGTAATTGTCAAAAATTAAGGAATTAGTTTTTCAAAATACCCACCTCCAAGAAATAGAATATTATCTGGTCAATAAAAAATCAGACTATGTACCAACATGGTACTATTTTAAGTAAAAACAAATGTGATTTCTGGTTTTGAGATTCTTTACTCATCAGTAAATTGAAGAAGATATTACCCTATTATGAGAACATTCAATTATTATTGCAAATGTTCAAAATAGTTTGGTTAAATTTTTTTCCTTTGGTGTTACATATATGTCAAATTGTTCATTAAAAAAATTTAAGTACCAAATATGTATAGGATGCAAATGCTGAAATTCTTTTCACTTACAAAACATTAACAAATAAAAATTATAAATATTCATGGGTACACAGTGATGTTTCCAGATATATAATGCATAGCAATCAGATCAGGATAATCAGCATATCCATCATCTTAAATACTTATAATTTCTTTGCTTTGGGAACATTCAGTACTCTCCTTCTAGCTATTTGAAACTATGTTAACTATAGTCATCCTACTGTGCTATGGAACACTAAAATTCATCCCTTCCATCTAGCTGTAATCTTATATCCCTTTTTGTAATTTTGTATCTCTCCATAACCTTCCCTTCCCACTACCTTTTCCAGCCTCTAGTCTCCTCTGCTCTATTTTTTGCTTCTGTGAGATCTACTTTTTTTTTAAGCTTCCACCTGCCAGTGAGAACATGTGGTAGTAAACTTCCTGTTCTTGGCTTATTTCACTTAACATAATGTCCTCCAATGCCATTCATATTGTTGCAAATAAGAGCACTTTATTCTTTTTTATAGCCCAAATAGTATTCCATTTATCTATGTACCATATTTTCTTTACCTATTCATTCCTTGGTAGACACAGAGAGATTTCAAATCTTGGCTATTGTCAATAATGCTGTAATAATCATGGGTGTACAGGTATCTTTTTGATATACTTATTTCATTTTATTTCTTTTGGATGTATACCTAGTAGTGGGATTGCTGGATCATATGGTAGTTATATTTTTTTAGTTTTTTGAGGGTCCTCCATACTGTTCTCCATAATGGCTATACTAATTTACAGATGTTGAAGTTTAAACTAGGTTTAGCACTTACTTTCCTTTCCCCAATTACATCACAAAAATTATTTTAAAATTCATCATTATCTTCAGTTAATCTGATAGTATTAAAAAATTGGTGTTTATGTGCACAAACATTAACCTAAAGTATAATTTATATACCACACAATTCACTGAATTAAATATACAACTCAATGGTATTTACTATATTCACAGAGATGTACTACCTAATTACAGAACATCCCACCACTGTCCTAAGTCAAATCCCTTACCTGTTAGCAGGAACTCATTCACCATTACTGCCTCCAGCCCTAGGCATTTACTAATCTATTTTCTGCCCCTATACATTTGCCTATTCTGAACATTTAATATTAATGGTATCATACAATTTGATATGGTTTGGCTGTGTCCAAACCACCCAAATCTCAGTTTTAACTGTAATAAGTCCCACATGCCAAGGGTGGGGCCAGGCAGAGATAACTGAACATGGGGGCAGTTTCCTCCGATATTGTTCTCCTGGTACTGAATAAATCTCAGGAGATCTGAAGGTTTTATAAAGGGGAATTCCCCTGCAAATACTCTCTTGCCTGTCACCACGTAAGATGTCCCTTTGCTCTTTCTTCATCTTCTGCCATGATTGTGAGGCCTCCCCAACCATGTGGAACTGTGAGTACATTAAACCTCGTTCCTTTATAAATTACCCAGTCTCGGGTATGTCTTTATTAGCAGCATGAGAACAGACTAATATACAACTGTTATCCTTTGTGACAGCCTCGTTTCAATAAGCATAATGTTCTTAACATTCATCCACACTGTAGCATTAATCGGTGTAGTAGAATTTAAATAAATTTCCAAATAATATTCCAGTATATGGATTTAAGAAAAACAATTTTTTATTTTATTGGGGGGGGGACAGAGTCTTGCTCTGTCACCCCCAGGTTGGAGTGCAGTGGTGCCATCTCGGGTCACTGCAACCTCTGCCTCCCGCGTTCAAGCCATTCTCCTGCCTCAGCCTGCCAAACAGCTGGGACTACAGGTACCCACCACCATACCTGGCTAATTTTTGTATCTGTAGTAGAGACAGAGTTTCGCCAAGTTGTCCACGCTGGTCTCGAACTCCTGACCTCAGATGATACATCTGCTTTGGCCTCCCAAAGTGCTGAAATTACAGGCATGAGCGACTGCGCCCGGCCAAGAAAATTTATTTATCCATTCATCAGTTGATGGACATTTAGCTTAACTCCACTTTTTTGGGATATTATGAATAATGTTGCTACAAACATTTTTCTTGAGTACATACTTGAATGGAACTATTGGGTTATATGGTAACTTTATATTTAACTTTTTGAGGAAGTACAAAACTGTTTCCCAAAACAGTTGCCATTTCATATTCCCACCAGAAATATATGAGGATCCAGTTTTTCCACATCCTCACCAACATATCTGTCTTTTTACTTACAGCCACCTCAGTGGATGTGAAGTGGTATCTCCCTGAGGAGATACATGCATATATAAAACATTCTCATCTCTACAAAATACTGCTCCATACCTCTTCTGTGGTCAATCCTGTGCTTATTTACCATCTTATCTAGTACTTGTTCAAAACTGCCCATTTAAAACTGAGTCATTTTTGGCCGGGCGCGGTGGCTCACGCCTGTAATCCCAGCACTTTGGGAGGCCGAGGCGGGTGGATCACGAGGTCAAGAGATCGAGACCATCCTGGTCAACACGGTGAAACCCCGTCTCTACTAAAAATACAAAAAATTAGCTGGGCATGGTGGCGCGTGCCTGTAGTCCCAGCTACTCGGGAGGCTGAGGCAGGAGAATTGCCTGAACCCAGGAGGCAGAGGTTGTGGTGAGCTGAGGTCGCGCCATTGCACTCCAGTCTGGGTAACAAGAGGGAAACTCTGTCTCAAAAAAAAAAAAAAAAAAAAAAAAAAGAAAATTTTACAAAAAAAAAAAAAAAAAAAAAAAAAGAGTCATTTGTCTTATTATTATTCAGTAGTCAGAGTTCTTTATACATCCTGATATAATTCTTCACCACATACATGCTTTTGAAGTATTTTCTCCCAGCTTGTGACTTTCATGTTCTCTCTAAGAAATCTTTGCCAACCTTATGTGTTTTCTGGAAATTTTAGATCTCATACTGTATTTTTAAGATTCATCCAATTTGAGAAAATCATTCCAAATTAAGCATTTTATTAAGAAATCCCAGTAAACATTGCATGAATTTAACAAAATTACAAGTGTTTCAAAAAATTTATAAATGTATGTAAATACTTGTGATAGGTTCCATGTATAAAATTAATGAGTATTAACTACCTGTCATGTGCCAAGTCTTACAGTTTACCTGAGAAATACATTGTGAAATGAGACACAATCTCTGCTATCATTGTAATGTTGGTAATCACCAGTATGAGTAAAGGAGCTACAAGCGAAAGACCAAAGTCTTGAAACCAGGATCATAATCCTTCCTCTTATAAGGAATTTTTCCACTTTTATAAATTAGATAAATAATATATACTTCACAGGGCTATCACCATGCAAAAGATGATCACCAATCCAATTGCCTCTTCGAAACTGCTTATGAAGTCTACGCTATACAACCAATGTTACAAATCTTCACCATCTATCTGAAGTCTGAATCTTCCCACTGAGCAACTTCATCTTTAACAGAAGACAGGGTAGTAATGGAAGCCTTGAGTGAAAACTCTTCTCTAATTTTCCATACCTAATCTTCGAATCTCCTCTAATTTGTGTCTATTATTTTGTCATGTCATAGGCTAAGATGTACTTCTTAACTGCTCTGCTTCCTTAGGAATGTTGCTCTTCAACTATATTCACCTTCCCTTATCTGCAATCTGTCTTGTTTTCACCTAGCACCTTTTCAAGGTATTTAAATATTCAAAATAATTTAGTCAAAAACTATAGCAGAAGATTCTTCTTCAAGCTTACTCCCTTTCCATCATCTCATTTCTCTCTGCTACTTTTTGTTTGAGGCTCAAACTCTGATTTTAGTCCTTTTTTTTTCTTGATCTTTTTTTGTTTTTTTTTTGAGACGGAGTT